ACTCACCCACTCACCCACCCACCCACCCACCCACCCACCCACCCACCCACTCACCCACTCACTCACCCACCCACCCACTCACCCACCCACCCACTCACTCACCCACTCACCCACTCACCCACCCACCCACTCACCCACTCACTCACCCACCCACTCACCCACCCACCCACTCACCCACCCACTCACCCACTCACCCACCCACCCACTCACTCACCCACCCACTCACCCACCCACCCACTCACCCACTCACCCACTCACCCACCCACCCACTCACCCACCCACCCACTCACTCACCCACCCACTCACCCACCCACCCACTCACCCACCCACCCACTCACTCACTCACCCACCCACCCACTCACCCACTCACCCACCCACCCACCCACTCACCCACCCACCCACCCACTCACCCACTCACCCACCCACCCACTCACTCACCCACTCACTCACTCACCCACCCACTCACTCACTCACCCACTCACCCACTCGCCCACTCGCTCACCCACTCACCCACCCACTCACCCACTCACCCACCCACCTACCAACCCACTCACCCACCCACCCACTCACCCACCCACCCACCCACCCACTCACCCACCCACCCACTCACTCACCCACTCACCCACTCACCCACCCACCCACCCACTCACCCACCCACCCACCCACTCACCCACTCACTCACCCACCCACCCACTCACCCACCCACCCACTCACTCACCCACTCACCCACTCACCCACCCACCCACTCACCCACTCACTCACCCACCCACTCATCCACCCACCCACTCACCCACCCACTCACCCACTCACCCACCCACCCACTCACTCACCCACCCACTCACCCACCCACCCACTCACCCACCCACCCACTCACCCACTCACCCACTCACCCACCCACCCACTCACCCACCCACCCACTCACTCACCCACCCACTCACCCACCCACCCACTCACCCACCCACCCACTCACTCACCCACCCACTCACCCACCCACCCACTCACCCACCCACTCACCCACTCACCCACCCACCCACTCACTCACCCACCCACCCACCCACTCACTCACCCACTCACCCACTCACCCACCCACCCACCCACTCACCCACCCACCCACTCACCCACTCACTCACCCACCCACTCTCTCACTCACCCACTCACCCACCCACTCACCCACCCACTCACTCACTCACCCACTCACCCACTCACCCACCAACCCACCCACTCACCCACCCACCCACCCACTCACCCACTCACCCACCCACCCACCCACTCACTCACCCACTCACTCACTCACCCACCCACTCACTCACTCACCCACTCACCCACCCACTACACCCACTCACCCACTCGCCCACCCACTCACCCACTCACCCACCCACCCACCCACCCACTCACCCACCCACCCACCCACCAACCCACTCACCCACCCACCCACTCACCCACCCACCCACCCACTCACCCACCCACCCACTCACTCACCCACCCACTCACTCACCCACTCACCCACTCACCCACCCACCCACTCACTCACCCACTCACCCACCCACCCACCCACTCACCCACTCACTCACCCACCCACCCACCCACTCACTCACCCACCCACTCTCTCACTCACCCACTCACCCACCCACTCACCCACCCACTCACTCACTCACCCACCCACTCACCCACCCACCCACCCACTCACCCACCCACCCACCCACTCACCCACTCACCCACCCACCCACCCACTCACTCACCCACTCACTCACTCACCCACCCACTCACTCACTCACCCACTCACCCACCCACTACACCCACTCACCCACTCGCCCACCCGCTCACCCACTCACCCACTCACCCACCCACCCACTCACCCACCCACCCACCCACCAACCCACACACCCACCCACCCACTCACCCACCCACCCACCCACTCACCCACCCACCCACTCACTCACCCACCCACTCACTCACCCACTCACCCACTCACCCACCCACCCACTCACTCACCCACTCACCCACCCACCCACCCACTCACCCACTCACTCACCCACCCACCCACCCACTCACTCACCCACCCACTCTCTCACTCACCCACTCACCCACCCACTCACCCACCCACTCACTCACTCACCCACCCACTCACCCACTCACCCACCCACTCACCCACCCACCCACCCACTCACCCACTCACCCACCCACCCACCCACTCACTCACCCACTCACTCACTCACCCACCCACTCACTCACTCACCCACTCACCCACCCACTACACCCACTCACCCACCCACTCACCCACCCACCCACCCACTCACTCACTCACCCACTCACCCACCCACTCCCCCACTCACCCACCCACCCACCCACTCACCCACCCACCCACCCACTCACTCACCCACCCACCCACCCGCTCACCCACCCACCCACTCCCCCACCCACTCCCCCACCCACCCACCCACCCACCTGCTCACCCCCCACCGTGTCTCCCCCGCCCACCACCGTAGCTGCTGCGGGAGCTAAAGCACCCCAACGTGATCGCCCTACAGAAAGTCTTCCTGTCTCATGCGGAGCGCAAAGTGTGGCTCCTGTTTGACTACGCAGAGCACGATTTGTGGGTGGGTGGGTGGGGGGGTGGGTGGGTGGGTGGGTGAGTGGGTGGGTGAGTGGGTGGGTGGGGGGGTGAGTGGGTGAGTGGGTGGGTGGGTGAGTGGGTGGGGGGGTGGGTGGGTGGGTGAGTGGGTGGGTGGGTGAGTGGGTGGGTGGGTGGGTGAGTGAGTGAGTGAGTGGGTGAGTGAGTGAGTGGGTGGGTGGGTGGGTGAGTGGGTGGGTGGGTGGGTGAGTGAGTGAGTGGGTGGGTGGGTGGGTGAGTGAGTGGGTGAGTGAGTAAGTGGGTGGGTGAGTGAGTGGGTGGGTGGGTGAGTGAGTGAGTGGGTGGGTGGGTGAGTGGGTGGGTGGGTGGGGGGGTGAGTGAGTAAGTGGGTGGGTGGGTGAGTGGGTGAGTGAGTGGGTGGGTGAGTGAGTGGGTGGGTGGGTGGGTGAGTGAGTAAGTGGGTGGGTGAGTGAGTGGGTGGGTGGGTGAGTGGGTGAGTGGGTGGGTGGGTGAGTGGGTGGGTGGGTGAGTGAGTGAGTGGGTGGGTGGGTGAGTGGGTGGGTGGGTGGGGGGGTGAGTGAGTGAGTGGGTGGGTGGGTGAGTGGGTGAGTGAGTGGGTGGGTGGGTGGGTGAGTGAGTAAGTGGGTGGGTGAGTGAGTGGGTGGGTGGGTGAGTGGGTGAGTTGGTGGGTGGGTGAGTGAGTGGGTGAGTGGGTGGGTGGGTGAGTGAGTAAGTGGGTGCGTGGGTGAGTGGGTGGGTGGGTGGGTGAGTGAGTGGGTGGGGTGGGTGAGTGAGTGAGTGGGTGAGTGATTGAGTGGCTGAGTGGCTGAGTGAGTGGCTGAGTGAGTGAGTGAGTGGCTGAGTGAGTGAGTGAGTGGCTGAGTGAGTGAGTGACTGGCTGAGTGAGTGAGTGGCTGAGTGAGTGGCTGAGTGAGTGAGTGGCTGAGTGAGTGAGTGGCTGAGTGAGTGAGTGGGTGAGTGGCTGAGTGGGTGAGTGAGTGAGTGAGTGGGTGAGTGGGTGAGTGAGTGAGTAGGTGAGTGAGTGACTGAGTGGGTGAGTGAGTGGGTGAGTGAGTGGGTGAGTGAGTGGGTGAGTGACTGAGTGAGTGGGTGAGTGAGTGAGTGGCTGAGTGAGTGACTGGCTGAGTGAGTGAGTGGGTGAGTGAGTGAGTGGCTGAGTGAGTGAGTGAGTGATTGGCTGAGTGAGTGAGTGAGTGGCTGAGTGAGTGATTGGCTGAGTGAGTGAGTGGCTGAGTGAGTGAGTGGCTGAGTGAGTGAGTGGCTGAGTGAGTGAGTGGCTGAGTGAGTGAGTGGGTGAGTGGCTGAGTGGGTGAGTGAGTGGGTGAGTGAGTGAGTAGGTGAGTGAGTGACTGAGTGGGTGAGTGAGTGGGTGAGTGAGTGGGTGAGTGAGTGGGTGAGTGACTGAGTGAGTGGGTGAGTGAGTGAGTGGCTGAGTGAGTGACTGGCTGAGTGAGTGAGTGGCTGAGTGAGTGAGTGGCTGAGTGAGTGAGTGGCTGAGTGAGTGAGTGAGTGATTGGCTGAGTGAGTGAGTGAGTGGCTGAGTGAGTGATTGGCTGAGTGAGTGAGTGGCTGAGTGAGTGAGTGGCTGGTTCAGTGAGTGAGTGGCTGAGTGGCTGAGTGAGTGAGTGAGTGGCTGAGTGAGTGACTGGCTGAGTGAGTGAGTGGCTGAGTGAGTGAGTGGCTGAGTGAGTGAGTGGCTGAGTGAGCGAGTGGCTGAGTGAGTGAGTGAGTGGCTGAGTGAGTGAGTGAGTGGCTGAGTGAGTGAGTGAGTGGCTGAGTGAGTGAGTGAGTGGCTGAGTGAGTGAGTGGCTGAGTAAGTGAGTGTCTGAGTGAGTGACTGGCTGAGTGAGTGAGTGGCTGAGTGAGTGAGTGAGTGGCTGAGTGAGTGACTGCCTGAGCCTACATTAACGATCGTGGCGGTGATTCTTGTTGTTGTGGTTGTTGTTGTGGTTGTTGTTGTGGTTGTTGTTGTTGTGGTTGTTGTTGTGGTTGTGGTGATTGTTGTGGTGATTGTTGTTGTTATCTAGCACATCATCAAGTTCCACCGCGCCTCTAAGGCCAACAAGAAGCCTGTCCAGCTGCCGCGTGGAATGGTGAAGAGCCTCCTGTACCAGATACTGGACGGGATCCACTACCTACACTCCAACTGGGTCCTACACAGAGACCTCGTGAGTGGGGGGTGGTGGTGGTGGTGATGGTGATGGTGGTGATGGTGGTGGTGATGGTGGTGGTGGTGATGGTGGTGGTGGTGGTGATGGTGGTGATGTTGGTGGTGATGGTGGTGATGGTGGTGGTGGTGGTGATGGTGGTGATGGTGGTGGTGGTGATGATGATGGTGATGTTGATGGTGATGTTGTTGGTGAAGAGCCTCCTGTACCAGATACTGGACGGGATCCACTACCTACAC